GGGAGCCTGCTTCTCCCTCTCCCACTCCCCCTGCTTGTGTTCCCTCTCTCACTGTGTCTCTCTCTGTCAAATAAATAAAATCTTTAAAAAAATAAAGAAATGTAGAATTACTTTTGTCTCTCTCAGCTAAACCTTTATAAGCCTAACTTTAACCAGTGAATGATAAGAAAACGGTTCCAGCCTCCTCTCAGGTGAGAGTGATCTTATAAAACTTCTCTTCTGGGCGCCTGGGTGGCTCAGTCATTAGGCGTCTGCCTTAGGCTCAGGTCATCATCCCAGAGTCCTAGGATCGAGCCCCACGTCAGGCTCCCCGCTTGGCGGGGAGCCCACTTCTCCCTCTCCCTCCTGCTCATGCTCTCTCTCTCCCTCACTATCTCTCTCAAATAAATAAAATCTTAAAAAAAAAATAAATAAAAGCTTCTCTTCAAAACCAGAAGGGCAAATAGTTCGTTGTCCTTGGCTTAACCTGCAGGTGCATGCTCTGGTTTTTGGAATTTTGTTGTTGTTTTAAGACCCAGCATCAGGGGTCCAGAGGGTTTATGTCAATTTGAGGAGAACTGAGGAACTGAAACATTGGCTCCATTTAGAAATGCCATTTATTAGGTTAAAGAGTAGGGGGGAAACTGTTAAAAGATAAAAATCTTTCCAAATTCTGAAACAGACTGTAACTGAAATGCTGCTTGGTAATGTGGGGAGTTGAATTTGAAAGAAACAAAGCAATAATAAAACCGAGTAATTAATGAGATAAAGGGCCTGCAGGAGCTTAAAAAACTCTTGTTAAAAATGTTTTTATTCAGGATAGTTGACATATAATATTATCTATGTATTAGGTACAACATAGTGATTGGGCAATTACACACATTATGAAATGCCTACTACGGTAAGTATAGTTACTATATTTCACCACACAAAGTTATTACAGTATTATTGACTATATTCCCTTTGCATATTTTTCATCTCTGTGACTTAATTTATTTTGTAACTAGAAGTCTGTACCTCTCCTTTACCTATTTTACCCATCCCGCACACCCCTCCCCTCTGGCAGCCATCAGCTTGTTCTCTGTATTTATGAGTCTATTTCTGTTTGTTTTGTTTTGTAGGTTCTACATATATGTGAAATCATATGGTATTTGTCTTTTTCTGTCTGACTTATTTCACTTAGCATAATATCCTCTAGGGGTCTGTCCATGTTGCCGTGAATGGCAAGATTTCATTCTTTTTTATGGCTGAGTAATATTTCACTGTATATATATACACATACATATGTACATATGCATATACATGTATACATACATACATGTGCATATATATACACACACACCATATCTTCTTTATCCACTCATGTATTGATGGACGCTTGGGTTGCTTCCATGTCTTGGCCATTGTAAATGATGCTGCAGTAAACATAGGGGGGCATATATCTTATTGAATTCAATCCCATTTTCTTCAGGTAAATACCCAGAAGTGGATTACTGGGTCATATGGATCTATTTTTAATTTTTTTAAAGATTTTTTTATTTATCAGAGAGAGAGAGAGAGAACAAGCAGGGGGAGCTGCAGGCAGAGGGAGAGGGAGAAGCTGGCTCCCCACTGATCAGGGAGCCCGATGCGGGACTAGATCCCAGGACCCTGAGATCATGACCTGAGCCGAAGGCAGCCACTTAACCGACTGAGCCACCCAGGCGTCCCTATTTTTTACTTTTTTTTAAAGATTTATTTATTTATTTTATAGAGAGAACATGAGCCAGAGGGGCAGAGGGAGAGGGAGAGAGAATCTGAAGCAGACTCCCTGCTGAGCACAGAGCCCTACATGGGACTCAATCTCACGAACCTGAACCCAAGCTGGAACCACTTAACCAACCCAAGCCGAAACCGCTTAACCAACTGTGCCACTGAGGCCCCCTTATTTTTAACTTTTTGAGAATCCTCCATACCGTTTTCCCCAGTGGCTGCGCCAGTTTGCATTCCCACCAGCGGTGCACAAGGATTCCCTTTTCTCCACATCCCCACCAACATTTATTATTTCTTGTCTTTTTGATATTAGCCATTCTGACCAGTATGAGGTGATACTGTGGTTTTGATTTGCATTTTCCTGATGATGAGTGATGTTGAGCATCTTTTTGTGTGTACTCTTGTTAAAAATGTTAACAGGAGATTTTCTTTTGTGAAACTTTTAGATAAAATTTCTAGAAGAAAATCTTTGTGTCCTTGAGTTAGGCTATAAAAAACAGAAACTATAAAAGGAGAAAATTGATAAGTTGGATTTCATCAAAGGAAAAACTTTTTTCTTTAAATAACACTGTTAAGAAAATGTTAAAAGCAAACCACAGGAAATATTTGTCAAACATGTCTAGTAAAGGATTTGTTTGCAGAATATATAAAGAATTCTAACAACTAAGTAGTAAGAGGATAAACAGCTTGATTTTAAAAAATGCAAAAGATTTGGATACCAAAGAAGTGTCACAAATAGCCAATAAGCACATGAAAACCTACCCTATATTGTTAGTCCTTAGGGAAATGCAAATAAAACCGCAGTGAGAGACCACTTCACACCTTTTAGAATGGGTAAAATTTAGTAGTGTGTTATTTAACCTCCATATATTTGTGCTCTTTCCAGATTTTTTCTGGTGGTTGACTTTTAGTTTTTTTTTTTTTTAAAGATTTTACCTATTTATTTGACAGAGAGAGACACAGCGAGAGAGGGAACACAAGCAGGGGGAGTGGGAGAGGGAGAAGCAGGCTCCCCGCAGAGCGGGGAGCCCGATGCGGGGCTCAATCCCAGGACCTCCCAGGACCCTGGGATCATGACCTGAGCCGAAGGCAGACGCTTAACGACTGAGCCACCCAGGCGCCCCTGACTTTTAGTTTTATAGCGTTCCAGTCAGAAAAGATGCATGGTATGACTTCGATCTTTTTGAATTTGTTGAGAAATTTGTTTTGTGGCCTAATATGTGATCTGTTCTGGAGAATATTCCATGTGCACTTGAAAAGAATGTGTATTCTGCTGTTTTAGGATGGAATGTTCTGAATATATCTGTTAAATCCATCTGTCCAGTGTGTCATTCAAAGCCACTGTTTGCTTATTGATTTTCTTTTTGGACAATCCATTTATGTAAGTGGGGTGTTAAAGTCCCCTACTGTTATACTATTATCGATTACTTCCTTTATGTTTGTTATTAACTACTCGAAGTATTTGGGTGCTCCCATGTTGGGTGCATAAATATTTACAATCGTTATATCTGGTTGGATTGTTCTAGAATGATAACATTTAAAAGATCGACAATACCCAGTGTTGGCCGATGTGAACAACTAGACCTGTCATACATTGCTGGTGGAAATGCAAGATGATACAGCTGCTCTGGAAAACAGTGTAGCATTGTTTCTTATAAGTTAAATATATACTTATGATATGACCCAGCAATCTCACTCTTAGCTTTTTACCCAAGAGAAATAAAAACATGTGTCCACCGAAGACTTATACTTGAATGTTCATAGCAGCTTTGTCATAATAGCCCCAAACTGGATAGAACCAAATGTCCTTCAGCTGGTGAATGGGAAAGGAATTTTATTATAATGGACTACTACACAGCAGTAAAGAGGAATGAACTACTGCTACATGTAATGACATGTATGGGTATAAAACGCATTGTGCTAAGTGAAGAAATGCCACACACAAAAGACTATTTTGTATATGATGCCATTTGGCATCTGTAAAAGGCAAAACTATAGTGATAGGAAGCACATCAGTGGTTGCACAAGGGGATCATGAGGAAACTTTGGGATGATGAAAGTTCTGTATCATGATTGTATTTTATATCATAATCCTATACAATTGTCAAAGCTCTACTGCTTACTTTAAATTGGTGACTTTTACTATATATAAGCAATACCTCAATAAAGCTGATTTGGGGAAGACTTTTTTTTTTTTTTGCCAGTGATTTATGCAGGATTAGAAACTAGATTCAGATTAATTCAGATCTGAATTTGTTATAGGCACTAAAATAATTTTGAAATAATGAGTATCCCTGAATTGAGTTGCGAAGAGCTTACTAGTTATCAAGTTGGATCAAGTTTAGGCTAAGACTTTTATTATTAATGAGAACAGGTGGAAATAAGATCCACATTTTATTTGAAGGTGCTTGATCAGAGAATCAGAGTTTCAAATAATCAAGGAAAAAAACCTGCGGGCTGATTTTGAACTCCCCCTCGTGCCCAAGTCTTTACTCGTTCTAATACTGTGACCACCGGTTTCTAGAAATACTCACTTCCTTTTGTCTCCAGTAAACTACTTACTTATACAGTTTTTTCCTCTTCTCTGATTGTTCCTTTTCACTCTTTGCTAGCTCCTTTTTTGGGGTGGGGAGTACATTTAAGGTTGATCCCTTTGTGGTTCTGTAATTGGTCTTTTCCTTGGTTTGCGTGTTTTGCATGGCAGTCCTTTCTCATTTCCTGTCTTGTAATTGCCTGCAGGATGCTAGTATCTCCATAGCTTCAGATGCTTATTTCCGTTTGTCTTGTGAATATATGTACCTGGATATCTCACAGACACTTCAAACTTAGTTCTGTACTCTTATCTTTCCCTATGCATTGGCTCTGCCTCCTTAATTCACCACCACTGTTCATCCAGGCTCCCAAGCGTAGAAAATCCCGATTTGTCCTTGGCTTCTTGCTCTCTTTTATCTTTTGACCTCACAGGTCACTAATCCTGTTGCTTCTGACTGGGAAACGATGCATACTCTAGCCCCCTCAATACTTCTCCGCTCTCAGGCAAAGTTACCTTTCTCCTTCCTTTGCCCTCCACACGTTGTTTATTCCTATTTTTGTTGTACTTGCCACGTTGTTGTGCCCATCTCCCACTTTGGACTGAGTTCATGGAAGTTAAGAAAAGACCCTGTCTTATTTATCCTTGTTACCTTAGCTTTTAGCACACAGTCTGGCGGACAGCAAATGCTCAAGAAATATGAAATGAATGAAGAATGAACCTCACAGAAGAACCTGAAGATGTTGGTGGATTACAGCCGGTGAATTACAGTGAATTTGCTAAAACTAAACACTGTTTTAGCAAATTATGTCAGGCAAAGAGAAAATACAGATATCCAGGGCTGGGGGGACATAGCGGAAAAAACAATTTTGTTTAAAATGTGAGTATATGGGATGGGTGGTAGTGGGGTAATAGACCATAAGTTGAGTGGGGATTGTAGTGTTTTCAAGCCTCAGTTCATTACCTCTCTCTGGTCGTAGAGGATCGTGGGCATGTAACCCCTTGGGGGCTGGGAGCAGAGCCCCGAGCAGCCTTTCTGCTTCAGGTATCAAGTATCTGCATATTTTGAACATACCCATATTTTACCTTTAGAAATTCATGCCAATTTTGCGTTCTGTTTTGTTACCTCTGAGTATTTTAAGGTGAAAATACCTTTTTCTCCCCACCCACCTCATCCTCTAGTGAGTAGTTGCTTCAGGAACTTGTGCCATTTATCCTCAGGCTTCCAGCACATCGGCCTGCCCCAGTGCCCAAATCTGGGAGGCATGGGACGGGGTTACGGTCTAATATGGCAGTATTCTAGCTTGATGTGATGTGGGGGATTGTCTACTCAGGAGTATTATGTCATGGAACCGAGGAGGGCGAGCTCATCTTTGTTCTAACGAGGCTATTCCTGGAAGGCTGCAGTCAGTTGGAGGCACCTCATTACCAGATCGCTGGGGACCAGCTGGAGAGAGTTCACAGAAGACCCACAGGAATGATTAAGAGACTGGAGGGGCTGACTGATGAGGAAAGAATATACATGAAAACTGTATAACTTGGCTGAACCGAGATAGCAGGAATACACAACTGTATAAATATCTCAAGAGAATAAACTTGATGGGGGAGGGCAGTCTCTTATGGTGGGATTTGGGGGAGAGTAAACCAAGGCTGAAATTAAGCAAAGGAAAATGTAAACTAATAATCTAAAGTACCTGATGGTGTACTCTAATTTTTGGAACCTTCTTAGGTCACTCTAAACTGTGGACCTTTTGTTAATTGAATGATTTGGTTTTTTAAAGTTGATTTTCCTGGACTTGTGGCTGGTGCTTCTGTGTAGAGAATCCTAAAGACTCCATCTTTCAAAGCCAACATCTTTTGTCTTGTCTTTCTCTGTGGGACTCCATGGGCGATAGTTGGGTGATTGTGGGCTGCCACTGCTTCTTGCTTTCTTCACCAGAGTTCCAAAGTGGATTTTCACATCCTTTTTTTCACGGCTTTTTATAATAGCATTTTAAAAGCAGACACTGAGTCAGTAATATGTATTGTAATAATTTTAGAAACCTCGTTATGGGATTGGTCCCTGAGGTACTGGTTTTAGGAAATTACAGCCTTGATGAAATGCAAACATAATTGTAGGAAACATGTACTTTGGGAAATGATTGTATAAAATCCGACTTTGGGGTATGGGAGGCATAAAACTTTTAAACAGCAGTTGAAATTAGAAATATTTGCCTAATGTTGCCAGTTTTATAGCTCTTTTCCTAAGAGGGGACAGGAGAACTGGAAGAAAATGATTTTATGCTTTTTTGATTTATGAAAATGAGTTCATTTACAAAGCAGTTATACAGCTTTAAGACTGAGACCTCTATGCTAGAGAGTGGTAAACTTTTCTTGTAAAGGGTCAGATAGGAAAGCTTTGTAGACCCTAAATCTCTGCAGCTACTCAGCTTTGCTTTTCTGGTGCAAAAGTAGTCATAGACCATATGTAAACGAATGAACTTGGCTGTGTTCATCCTTTTTTTTTTAAAAAGCAGGCGACTATCTGGATCTGGCCTGCAGGCTGTAGTTTGCCAACTCCTGCTCTAGACCTTTGCTCCCGAAAGCATGATCTGCAGACCAGCAGCATCAACACTCCCTGTGAGCCTGCTGGAGATACAGAATACCGGGTTGCTTTCCAGAGGGGCTGCCCTGGAGCCTAGACCAAGCTTCTCAGACTTTAATGTGTGTAGGAATCTCATGGGGGCACTTATCAAAGTACAGACTGAGATAAACTGAACAATATACTAGCTACTGGGAGACAAAGATGAGTCAGACCAGTCAGTGTCCTCAGAGACCCCAGAATTCATTAGGAGAGACTACTGTATAAACAAATAATTACAATACAGACTAATAAATGCTATAATAGAGGTATTTTCAGCACAGGAGTATCACAGCGGAGCAAGTGATTGGTTCTGTGTGGCATGGGGGCAATCCTCAGAGGGGCCTGAGAACTGGACCAGGAAGGGGATAGTGCTTGAGTTGAATTTTCAGGCTTACTGGAGACACTGAATGAAGCATTGTCAGGGGTAGGCATGGTAGTTCGTGGTGGGGTGCGGTAAAAATGATATTAGAACTAGGAGTTATTCAGGTGCCTGGGTGGCTCGGTTGGTTAAGTGTCTGCCTTCGGCTCAGGTCATGATCGCAGCATCCTGGAATTGAGCCCCACATCCAGCTCTCTGCTCAGCAGGGTGTCTGCTTCTCCCTCTCCCTCTCCCTCTGCCCCTGCGTGCTCGCTCTCTAATAAATAAAAGTCTTTTTAAAAAACCACTATTAAAAAAACTAGGGCGCCTGGGTGGCTCAGTTGGTTAAGCGACTGCCTTCGGCTCAGGTCATGATCCTGGAGTCCCGGGATCGAGTCCCGCATCGGGCTCCCTGCT